ATTTGTCATATAAAAACAGACAATTGGATACCAGTATCATTGTCATTTGAGACATTGCGGTTATCACCACACAATCTCTCCAGCAGCTCCTTCGTGCCAACGACAATAAGTGTTCGTGCGCCAGATTCTTCTTGAAGCTGATTTATACTCATTCCTCGCATGTCATCAATGGTTTTCACTTTCTGCAGCGCATTACCATCTTTGCTATCATCTATCACCACCAAAATGTCCCACAATAGTGGAATTAGGTATAACTGTACAGAATTTACAAATGACAGGTTAATACAATTCGAGAAGAGTTTGCACCACGACACTCTTGATGATAAATAGAAAATCCCATATCAGAAAATACCCAATCAGTAGAGTATAACCAACTATCCATCATAAAAGTCAACTTCATGCATGCATATCACAGGTAACATTCTCATATTTCGTCCTACTAATGACAAAATATTAATATCCAACAGTTGTATCAAACCAACAATTAGTCGCTAACCCATTTTCTGACCACATATACCTACAGATAGAGTGAGAGACAAATTTAATTACCTTCGCCATTGTTTTTAAAATCGTTGGCACCTCCAGCACAGAGCCTCTCCAGAAGCTCCTTACTTCCAGCAGCAGTAACTCTTCTACTCGAAGCCTCTTCACGGAGCTGTTTCAGATTCATCGCTCACATCTCGTCAATGGACTTCATTTTCCTAAGTGCCTCGTATCAGTATTCGTGTTGTCGGAATCCCTCCGCCTCTTGCGGCTGGAGCTCGAACCGGAGTTCAAATCCATCAATTTCTGCCTCTCGTCTTGAAGAGCGGCTTCAAGCCTCCGAACCTGAATTTATTAACAACAAGAACAACATTTAAAAAAACTCCACTGTCTTGAAGCTACAAATCTATTTCTCTCTCCAATTTGTTGATTCTCTTTCCAACAAATTTGTTTCTCTCACCAAAAATAAAGATAATGTCATTAATATGCTCATTTCTCTCTCCAACCCGTGGCTTTGCTTCTTCTTTCCAAAAAAATTGTTTCTCTCGCCAAAATAAAAATAATGCCATTAATATACATAACTTAAAACAACATATAAATTAACCATATAGTTATACATAAAATAAACAACATGTAAACAACACTATGGAATAAAACATAATACACAATTCTGAATGACTCTAAATATATGTTTAGATATACTGTATATATACATCAGATAAACATGATCTGACAGTTCCATAATATTAACCGTATAATTATACATAAGATAAACAATATATAAACAAACGAGATTATACATAAATACACAAATTTCTGAATGACTGGCAAAGCTTGCTACTCTCGAATAGAGCGCTCAGCGAACTCGCCCAACAAAACAATCGCTACTCTTCCCGCACGGGCCACGCGAATGGCTGATGTTCGCTGAAAAGAAAATGGCGGCACGGTGTTGTTGCTGCTCGAAAATGAACTTGTCGGGAAATGGATGCTCGAAGTTGATGGCGAGACCCGTCGGAAAAAGGGAAAAGGCCGCTGCACTTCCCCTGAAGGGACCTACGAGGGCTGATGCTGTAAAAAGGTTGTCGGGTGCTCTCTACTACGCCGACAAGGGTTGTGAATAGAAATCGATGGGAGGTCGCTAATCGAGGAGGCCGCTGTTGTCCGAGGGTCGAGGGGCTGAGATGGAGGAGGTGAAGGTGGTGAGGCTTCGGTCGAGTGAATGGGCCTGACCTTCGTGGCTTCTCGGCGCTGGCGATGGGTTACTCACGACTATGCGAGGAATCTGAAACTCGAACCTGCTGCTACACATGGAGGAGAAGATGGCGACTATGTTGCACGAATTAATCTCGTGCGGATGGTGGTGTCGAGCGGCTACTGGAAATCACGAAAAGGAAAAGAAATTGTCGCTGTTGCTCATGGAAATCACCGACTGAGAAAGATCGACGACTCTCGATTTGATGAGAGGCCTAGATTATTCAGCGATTTAAGGTCTGGGATTTTGGGCGATTTCAAGGGACGACGAAAACTCTTAGATTTGCAGCGTGAGGAAACAAAAAAAAGAAGAAAGAGATGAGGGAGAGAGAGATTCAAGAACGAAAGAAAAAAGATAAAGAGATAAGGGAGAGAGAGAGATTAACAAAGGAAGAGCATGAGAGAGAGAAAGGGACAGATTCCTACAATTATGCTAAAGAATAACTTCCATGTATATATCACACTTGGTTTATTTTATAAAAAAATCGCAATTTTGAAGGTAAGTTGTAGAGATCGTAAGTTTAATAATATTTAGCAGAAGATGTGTAGGGGGAGTAATTTTCTCAAATAATATAAAACCATTTGCAAAGCAAAAGTGCATGGGAAATTTACATATATAGAGCCTCTATATCAAATAATTTCATATATAAGTTCTTTATAACTTTTTCATCAAAATAGAATTTTGATGGGATTTTTTTTTCATGTATACGAATAGCTTGTACGTATCTCCAATTAATCTTGCTCTTTTATTTCTCTCTCTCTCTCTCTCTCTCTCTCTCCATATATTAAACCTCCAATTAATTCTCTCTCTCTCTAATTAATTTTTCTCCAATTCATTCTCTCTCTCCATGATATATATATTTCTTCTCTCTCTACAAAAATATTAGACGAAAAAAGGGATAGAAGGATTCAGAAGGTGATGGATTTTACAAAAGATTTGTTGCAAAATTTTATGTTAAAACCAGAAAATTATACATAAGATAAACATCAGATAAACAAGTCTATAGAAAAAATATACATAAGATAAAAAAAACTCTATAACAATTGGATCCGTTGCAGAAACTTCACTGCATCCCGATTATTTTTTCATACCTTGACATAATATATATATATATATACACACACACAAGATAAATAGAATATAAACATATTTTTGATTATGCAATAACCAACACGAGATCAAAAAGTGTATATATATACATAAAATAAACAGTATATAAACATCTTTGATTCTGCAACAAGTTTGTAACATGAGAACAAAAATTGTATATAAACACCATATAAAACATTTCTCAAAATCCAATATACATATAACATGACAAAAAAATAACAATAATAAAAAAATCCACCGCCGCCTCTGGTGGCACCACCACCCCGGTGGTCCCCCAACTCCGGCGAGTACCTCATGAAGGTCAGCCTCGACACCCCTCCCGTCGACATCCTTGCGATCCTCTCGGCGATGGGCTGCTCTTGCGGCGGGTGGACATCCCGTCGACATCACCGCCGCCTCCGGTGGCACCACCACCCCGGCTTGCTCGTGATGGGTTGCTCTTGCGGCGGGTGGCTCGTCGGACATGAAGGGTTGATCGGATTTTGTTGGGGATTAAAGGGCGATTTTGGAGAGAGAGATGGGCAAATTTTCATATCTGAAAATTGTGAAGACGCGTATGGCAAAGGGAGAAGATGAGGCTGACATCATTGCACGTTGCCCTCAATTTCTTTTCTCTTCAACCTTGTTTGCTTCGTCTTCGCCATGATGCAGTCTTTTTGAGTATGAGGGATAAGATAGATGAGAGAGATGAGAGATGAGAGATGAGCGAGAAATATGAGAGAGAAATTTTATTTCTGTGTATAGGATGAGAGAGAAA